CGGTCATTCTGTGTGTCCTACACGGTTTCTACTTTGTCGTGCGCGGTTTCTATTTTGTCCTGTGTAGAACGTTCGCCGTGTTGCAGGTGTATGCAGCAGACCCATCAAGAACTCAAAGATAAGTTTGTGATGAAGAACCTGAGCCTTGGTTTCAAGCTTCAAGTGATTTCGAAGCTCGCCGAAGGGTGCACCTCAAGATATTGAGAATTGTTACATTACTTTGTGTAGTGTAACATTTTAGTTCGTGTGGGCCCTTGTGGTGGATAGTTTCGAGACCCTTCTTGGTTGGGGATAGCATGGCACAGTTCCACATCACTGTACCTCGGCTCTTGGGGTTTGTATGAGCTAGGAGTCATTCCTAACTCGTAACTCTTCCAAGCTCTTCCTATCGTGTGTGCTAGGACTATGTTGCTGCCATAGTGCCGTTCATTCAAACCGACACTATGTCGTGCGATTCTTGATGAAATCTTGCGATCAGAATTGCTAATTGTAGGCGACATTAAGGCGCTCCAAATCCAAGTTGAATCATGCCATTTGGAGATGCGACGTGATCGCTATAAACGTTTGAAGCTGCTGTGCAGAAATCCGACTGTGCACTCTATCTTTTGATCTAGGCATATTGAAGCCTACTGTGACTATAACATCACGTGCACGATGCTATTTATTGTTGTATCACCTACTGAAGTACAAGCATTGCTGGTAGTCGTGGGACGTACCGGTTCCTCGTGACACCATCAGGCACGTAATATTATGTGGCTAGAGCGATCGTGCTGCATTTGCGGCTGGTTCCCTATTTTTACCTGCCACATTTGAGCGCGCATGTATCCCTCCTCGGCGAGAGCAATACCGACCAAATTTGTTGGTCTCGTTCATTTCGTAATTTGTGTGAAATTCTCTTCGATTGCACATATGCATTTCTAGGGGGCTGCTGGGCTGCGATGCCACACCTCCAAGTTGCGAGCATTCTTGCTCCGATCTCTACCGTGAACACCCTGCATCGCTAGGGGTTTCCCCTTTTTTTAGAATCTTTCCCACAATTCCGCCCATCACGTGCCATTTTCTGGTGCTCAAGGCTTCTCTTCCCATATTTTTGGATAAGCCTGTCGCACAGTTGTGTGATGAATTCTAGCCCTACTCGTTAGCTGGTTTGGCTCTCCCTAAGTTTTTTGCCTTTCTCCAACACAGTTAAAGCCATTATTTGGTTTTCCTTAAACCATGCTGACCTCGGGCTTTAAGCCTCCTCATAGCTGTCCCTGGCCTGGCCTGGCCCTCTCGCTCTCTACACTCTTACACATAGATTCCACGAGAGGCCGCCTCCTCAGAACTTGTCATTGGGCGCTTCAATATCGGACATTTGCCCTCTTTCCCCCACTCCGTCACCCTCACCCTCACCCCCCCCCCCACCCCGTCCCCGTCCCCCTCCCCTCTCTCACTGGCCACCTGTCTCTGGCCGCGCGTTTCTCTCACCCAATCCCTCTTCCGAACACTTCAATTTTGAACGCTTGGAAGAACGGTCTTTGTTTGGCTCCCTCTCACCCTCTCCTCTCCCCCCCCCCCCCTCTCCCCCTTTCCTCTTCCCCTCCCATCTAGCCTTCACTTCTCCCCATCCCCTCTCCCCCTCCCATCTCCCCCTCCCATCTCTCCCTCCCCCTCCTTCCCCTACTCTCGAACCCTTTCTCATCAGAAGGCCACCTATCTCTAGGTGCTCGTTGCTCTTGCGCTATCCATCACACTAACTCAGCTGAGTGGGTGCATGAGTGGTCCGCCCCTGACACCTCGCTTTCAGGTGTTTCATTTCAGGGGGGTAGGTTGTCTTTCTCAGTTTTTTCAGGTAGGTACGTTGTCTCTCTCAGGTGTTTCAAGTGGCTGCCAATCCACCTCGTACGTATGTCTGTGTGCGTTCCAGTCTCGTGCCATTCAGGCCTCAAAATCAGTCTCGTAGGCCTCAAAATTAGTCTCGTAACTGTTTACATTCCGTTTGATGTTAAGTGAATCGCCTCTGTGTGTCCTACCACTGTTATTTGTATATTTAGTTAAGAACACCATTTTTTTCTCGAATTCGCCTCTGCCTTCCTTGCTCTGCACTTAATTCTCTTCCCCTCCAACCCCTCCCCTTCTTCCTTCTCCCCATCCATAGCTTCTCATGGGCAAGTGCAGCTACAACCTTCGCTTCAAGGGCGCGTGGGTCATTGTTGTGCAGGATGTGAGTGAATTTTGAGAAATATCTGAAGCACACGGGCCACCCTTGCTTGCTTGCTTTTGGGGCGCCTCAGAAGTCGCTTTATGGGCGCATGGGTCACTCTAGTGTACGATGTGAGTGGCTTTTGAGCATACTATAAGGGACTCTTGTTTACAACATGGGGGGCACTAGCTTGTATGCTACGCTACACTCACGTTGTTTCTGCTGCGTTGAGGTGGTTCAAACTCGACAGCAAATCTAGAGAGCACACCGTGTGCAAGACCTACTAACCAGCCATCACTTTCCCTCCCGACATCCTCTTTTTTCCTCGAGACGTCTCAAGAATCCAGAGAGCGTAGCATGTGCAGCACCTACCTGCCAACCATCTTTCCTCTCCTGATGTCCTCTCCATTTCTCGTTGCAAGAAGTTGTTCGCCACTTTTTCTGCTCCTTTTTTCCAACCCTTTTTCTTTCCCCCCCATCGCTCTTCATGTCCCCAACCCTGTTGTTCCATCCGCTTTGCCCTCCCCAAACACAGCCCAGCACGCGTGCACAGACAACAGAGTCGGTGACGAGTTTGGAGCACAGCGTGTATGACAACTCAGGTGCGGATAGTGATGACGTGTCACGCGTGGATGATGAAGTTGTTAATGTTAGCCCCCAATCTCACATTTGTACCTTTACTTTTTATTTCATAGTTTAGTGTAGGTTGCATTTTGTGTTTGGTTAGGTGTTCACCCACATCCCATCAAACCCAAATCTAATCTCTAAGCAATCTCCAACCCACCAATTGGAGATTGCCTTGGGATTACCCCAAATTCCCTAGGATTGCCCCTTATTTCCTCTCCACCCTTACATTGCCCATTTCCAATGTACCTAAAGAGCTTGGGCTCATTACTAATGCATGGATTTTAAGCTCAAGTTCTAACACGGTACCAGAGCTAGTCAACCACACATGTGTATCATGATCCTCTTATCTCAACGGGCTCTTGTCCCGCTTTCTTCGACGTAGCCGCTCTCAATCGTGTCGCCGGTGATTCGCGACTTCCTTGGCTGGAAATTATTCCTCGCCACTCTCCCTTTCTTCTCGACAACTTTTGCAACTTCTCTAGTATGTGCATCGTCGACGCTTTAACCAATCGCAATTTCTCATCAATTGTTTTCGCTCCACTTCTTCGGCTCGGGCCACCGCCCGTCGCCCTGCATCTTCTCGTCGGGCTGCCATTCGTCGCCCCGCAACGACACTCCACAACTGAACAGGTGCAACCGCGCAGCTGAGCAGCCGTGTAGTAGCGAAGCTGGGGAGTTGCATAGCCGCGAAGCCGAGGGTGGTGTATTGGAATAGGGTTAGCTATCGAATTTTTTTCTACAAGACATTCCTGAGCGGCCGACATTGAAGCTCTTTGCCCTTCGCATCCCTTGGATTTTCTCCTTCAGAAACCATAAACCTCACAATTTTCTTTCGTAAACCCTAAACCCCAAGTTCTTTAAATTCTCCTTCGGAAACCCTAAACCTCAAATTCCTATCTGTGACTTAATAGCTGTGCTTCACGCGAGACCTAAAGGGTTCTTTACCATGGCTGTCGCCTCGGCCACTCTCCCCGACCCCAACGCGTTGAAGCCGACGGCACTAGCTCCAACTTCAAGGCATGGAGCTACGGGGTTGACAATCTCCTCCTGAGTCGTGAAGTGGGTGGACTTGACCTCAAAGACGTTCTTCTCAATCATGGCAAGAGAAAACAGCCCCCCATCCCCAAGGAGCAATCCGATCGAGCCGATGTTGTGACAACGCAGGAGTACGAAGACTCTGTTGCCTAGTACCGCAAATGGGAGAAGGCCGATGCGGCTATCATTAGCATCTTCATCGACTCCACTCCCCCGGAACTTGTCAACACATTCCACAACCACCCCACTTCCAACGCCAATTGGAAGCATCTCTAGGACAGATTCATGAACAAGACGGCGGTACGGGTGGCCATCCTAATTCCTAGTATGTTTTAAGTTCGCCTTGAGGATTACCCGGGTATGGCCGACTACATCGCCAAGGTGCAAACCATCAACGGCGAGCTCGAGGAGCTAGGTATCATCTTGCCCAAACAAGCTCATGTGGCCGCCCTTCTTATTGGCCTCACCTTGGCATACGAAGCTACAAGGAAGATGCTTTTCACGTCCTCTTTGGAAGACCTCACATTTGCTAAGGTAACCTCCGCCCTCCTCTCTGCCGAGAAAGACTCCTCCGCCCAAACCAAGGCCTATGCCCTCCGTGCTCCCGCCTCAAGCAAGTGTCGCCTCGGCGCCCTTTCAACGCAACCGCTTCCCTCCATTGACTTACATCGTCAAGTATGGCAACCGCAAGGGACAAGTGTGTGGTGGCACTAACCACCCCCTCACCACGTGCTTCAAAAAGAAAGATGACGAATGGTATGTCTTCCTTGGAGTTGACAAGAATTTGCCGAACCGGATGCGTCCTCATAAGGCCAACGTAGTTGAGGCACAGGACCCCGCTCAGGCTAGTGCTAGTGATAGTGCTCCTACTAATGTGCGCGTCAACTTGTTGTTCCCTGGCATTGCCATGATTAATGAAGCAGCTTCACAGTACATTGGCTCATCACAAGCACCACAATACAATGAATTCACACAGGACAACGGGGCCATTCATACAGTGCTCAAGGAGACACTCTCCTTCAAACCCTACGCAACACTTATTCCTCTCATTCGAGCTGATTCAAGCTCCACCACTCTTGCCAAGGGTTCGTCCACACTCCTGTGCCACGTCTTCCCATCCGGCACTGTCACTATGCCTTCACTACGCCACAATATAATGGCTCAGAAAGAGATTCAGAAGGCGGGGTCACGCACCATCTTCTCGGAGAACGAGACATCATCGACACACTCATCAAAAAGGTCTTGGCTAACTTCACCCTCAATAGCAGCGGCCTGCGAGTACCTATCCCACAGGTGTTGTCACAGGTCCACTGGTGATCCCCGATCGATCCTAGGGGGGGTTACAGGCGCGTTTGCCAGGGGGGTTATGGGCGCACTGACCCGCTACTGAAATAAAGCCCTTATATCCCAATGGTCTAGTGGTTGGGATTCTGACATGGTATCAGAGCGAAGGTCTTGGGTTCGAATCCCAGTATATGCACTTCGGGCATCCTAGTGCGGGGGGGTGTCAGAGGTCCACTGGTGATCCCCGATCGATCCTAGGGGGGGTTACAGGCGCGTTTGCCAGGGGGGTTATGGGCGCACTGACCCGCTACTGAAATAAAGCCCTTCTATCCCAATGGTCTAGTGGTTGGGATTCTGACAGGTGTGAACCACCCTGCTTCCCCATATCCAATTCCCTTCTTCCCCCCATCCTCTTCCCTGCTTCACCCCATCCCCTTCTCTTCTTCCCCCCATCCCCTTCCCTACTTCCCCATGTTCCCTTCCCTGCTTCCCCCCATCCCCTTCCCTTCTTCCCCCTATACCTTTACTTGCTTCCCCCCATCTCCTTCCCTGCTTCCTCCCATCCTTTCCCTTCTTCCCCCCATCCCATTACCTGCTTCCCCCCATCCCCTTCCGTGCTTCCCCCTATCCCCCCTGCTTGGCCCCATCCCCTTTCCTGCTTCCCCTCATCCCCTTCCCTTCTTGCCCCCATCCCTTTACCTGCTTTCCGGTCTCCCCTTCCCTACTTCCCCGTGTCCCCTTCCCTGCTTTCCCATGTCCCTTTCCCTGCTTTCTCATGTCCCCTTCCCTGCTTCCCCGTATCCCCTTCGACATCACTCACACGCACCACTTGTCTGCTCTTCATATTCTCCCTCAGATTCCTCCTCATATGTCCTGTCGAACCCTGGTCACCACTTTGCCTATCTACATGCCTGCCGGCGTTTGATCAGTATGCGTGTCTTTCTACCTACGTGCATGCCTGCGTGTATGCATGTTTGTGTGCGTATGCGTGTGCACGTCCACCCAAGACCTGATGCCATTCATCGACTGTGACCCTGTGGGAGGCGCACCTGGTGCTGGTGGGGAGGTGTGGCTGCCCAAGAAGCTCCATGACGTGCCCACAGACAAAAAGTGGGAGCGGGGGTGGGGGCAGTGGGGAGCTGCGAGGAGGACAAGGAGGAGCAGCCACGCCTAGCGCTGGCGGCTTCCATGGAGGGGCATACAGAGGAAGAGGGGGCCAAGGCGGGAAGGTGGGCAAGGTGGGGAGCAAGGTGGGGACATGGGCCCATGCATGGCAGTAGGGACGACACCTCTCGTGCGGCATAGGGTCAGGAGCAACAAGGGGCGTGGGTAGGAGGGGCAGCGGACGAGGAGGTTGAGTTACCAGAGGAGCGCGTAGTGCGCATTCCAGCCTGCCATCGCATTGTCATTCGTTGCTCGGATGGCACTCGGCTATAGTGTTGTTTCTGGGCCCAGGCACTCTCTATATGTGCTGTTCCAATCCTTCAAAACAACCTGCTTGCCACCCATCCCACGTCTCTGCACAGTCCTTCCTGCCAGGCTCATTCCCTTACTCTCCCACTCACTCCGTTGTTCTCCCACGCCTCACTCCCCAGTCCCCCAGATGCTGGGAAGCAGATCTACGACTGGACCCGTCCCGAGGTGAACCCCTCGGTGCACCCCTCGGCGCACGGCCACGCCGGTCATGGAGAATCAGCAGCCCATGGCACACTTCGGCGGGTTATGCGAGATAAGGCGCGCAGCTAGCAGAGCTGCAAGGCAGCCTTCTCTCGAGACTTCCTTCAACCTCCCCTGCTGCCCTAGACATGCGCACGATAAGGCCTGCATTTGATGTTGCCGCCCTCTCTGCGTGTAAGGAGGGAGTGGCAGCTGCAACGCGTGATAGGCAACATTGTGCAGGCAACTGTGTTGATTTTGGATCATGGGGCAAAGACATTTGAATTAAGTAGAGTTGTGTGGTGTGATCAGTGCCGAGTGGCGTGGGAGGAAGGCACAAGAAGGCAAGCACAAAGTGAAGAGGCCGCGGCATGATATGGAGATTGGCAGCAGGGATCGACTTGTGGGTCGTGCTTTGTTTGGTGCCAATGGTTTATAGGCTGAATTGGGTTTACCTGTTGACCATACTGTGTACAAAGGCTGTACTGTATGTGCCCTATCTCAATCTTGACCCGAACTACAAGCGTAAGACTTGAAGTATGGAGATTGTGCCTAGCTGTGATATTCCCTACCAAACCTACACAATATGGCCAATGTCATGCATAATAGTACCGTATGCGTGTCATACATGGTGAAAACACAGCTCTCTAAAGAATGTTCAGGTTGGTACATTGTACTTCGAATCTGTGAAGCACACTTGCAGCTATAGAACCGGGCACATTGTAGTCAGCCGCCTTGAATGGCATGGCATGCTCTTAGAGAAACAACTTGCTGTTGCCTGTAAACTAAATTCAATTTTCCCAAGATACGGGGCAATACTCAAAACGGTCGAGTTGAATATGTCCATGTAAGCCCAGCAGAGAGGAGTGGCGGGGAGTGGCGGTGTCGGGCAAATGAAAGGAGCGGTAGAGTGGAAATTTCGAGGGACTCTCATTACTGATCCTTTGCAATGACTGATTTGCAAAGGGGAGAAGGGGGGGATGGGGGGGTCGTGGGGGGAATGGGGTGGGGGGCAGAGGAGAAGAAGATGGTAAAGGGGGCTCAGAACAGGGAGGAGGGGCAGCAGGTTAACAAGCTGGCTCTCATTGCTTATTGCGTGCAATTGCTGTTAGAGCGTGGGGGAGTGGGGAGTGGTGGGGAAGGGGGGAAAAGAAGAGAAAGGGGAGGTGGGAAAGAGGCAAGGTGATTGTCTTTGGGATGGCTTCTAATAAGGGTATGGGAGATGGCATGGGATATCATGCACTAGTGCAGATGCCAAATGCACCAAAGGTCAACTGCACTGCACCAGGTTTCATTTGCCACTAGGCAGCAAACGTCCCGGGGGGCCGAGGCTTCCACCAGGGAAGGCCGCCCTGCCACTTCTATGTCTCTCTGGGAGTACTGCAGCAGCGGCACTTCCTGCACTTGCGATAACAATTGTAGGCGCTGACATGGGATGTATCGTAGGCATGGGGGATGGGGAGGCGAAACATCACAAGGTATTTGGTCAAGAGGAAGGGCTTGAGGGAGACAAGGAGGAGTGGAGAGGAGAGGGGGGGATAGATTTGAAGGCCCACTAGTGTTGGTGTTTGAGGATAAATAATAACAATAGTAGGGTTCATTATTACCATGGGCGAGCACGTGGGCGTCGTTGATACCGGAAGCGATGCGGCGTGGCGGCCAAAATGATATTGTTGGACCTTTCTGAACCCCATAGGTGTGTTGTGGATGTTTACCGAGAATAGTTGGTGATGTCACCTGTAACATTAGCACAAACAAAAGGTGTCGGTCAAGTTGATGAGATAGGGTGTGATAAATTGCAAATGTGCAACTACTCTCACTTAGAAATCTGCGCGCAGCCCCATGCGTCGATGACCGGCCGCGACTCCTCTGGCTACGTCGCACAGGTGTAGCGAGCTGCTGTACAGATGGGTGGCCCCCTCCATCAGATATGTTAGCGGACTGCTTTTCCGCTCCTTGGCTTGTTATTGCATCTTCATTAATATTGTCATCAACACCATCCCCTAACAATCGTTGCTATTCCGACATGATCCAATCATCCCACGACCAATCCATTGGTCCTAGTGTTTGATCCTTGTTGCCCCGACGCACCCGCGTCACTTGTCGTACTCGTGTTTGATATATAGTGACCAATCTATCCATCGAGTTCTTCTAGTGTAAGACAGCAAAAGCCACCTGTGGCACGAGACTATCCTTGAACCGAATATGCTTAGGGGCGTAACTGAGGATCAGAGAATAACATGACTCATTGGCAGAGCTATTGGTCAACATCCCAGGATACCACCAGGCTTTCCACGCCCGGAATGGTCACCTGCCCAATGGTTTGGCAACGTCCCAATCTCCCTTGCCACATCATCACGGGTCATAGGGGTGCCCGCTTCCTTCATCCGTCACATAGAAAAAATGCGAGCTGAAGTGCTGCGCCACTTTACTCTCTTCATCACCAGCGTGTACCTCATCTCCACCCCGTTTTCTTTTCTTGCGCCCAACCCACCGAGGCAAAGTCTGTCCAATTCTGCTTCTTGCTGCATCACCATCGTAAGCTGCACCCTCGTTGTCACTTGTAGGGTTAGTATCTGTTGGGTCCGCACCACCCATGCCATCATCTCCTAGTGAATGACAATATTGGAGGAAAACATGACTGAGTAACCAATCCACATGAGCAGTTAAAATTTCTCTTATGTGAGCATTTTTACCCGTCAATTCGTCAGCACTGGCCCATTCAGTCGTCCCAATGATTGACCGTGAAACATTGCCTACACTTGCATGTGCATGCATGACGGATGCACTTGCCACAGACCATGGTCGCGCGCCGTGCACTGGATGCAAATCATAACTCAAAAGCTCCACATCTGGCCACTGCACATCAACTTGTGCATTGCCCAATTTCTCCTCATCAACCACTTCATCAATTGCAATGGTCCGCCTATCTCCTGTTGGGCCAGTTCGCACCTCCACATAAGCCACAGGGACATCTACAACCCCCTGTTCCCCCCCCTACTCGTCGCACCTTTCTCAGCTCTAGAAACTTCCACTTTGCTTCATCAGATGTCATCTGGACGTAGGCAGTGGTGCCCATGGCTGTACAGACTGATTGCACAAGAGCCGATTTGAGTGATGCCTTTGCCTCTTTCTCCAAACCCCGTTTTCGCAATCATTGCCGCAGCCCTTCCACCGTAGCCAACCACAGCTCCTCAATATAACTTGCCTTGTCCACGACTACCGGCAACCGCACTGCATCCTGAAGCTCTTTGTAGAAAAGCTTGTAGAGTGTTTTTTTCATGTCCCACCAATCCACCTAATGGTTCAGTTTCCGCTATGTGGCAGCACCTCTGAATGTCGTCCCTTAGTCTGAAATGATTCCTTCCACATCAAATCTCAACAGCGCCAGCTCATCAACTCCTTTGTCGAACGCAACCCGCTCCAATCGCATAGATGACGTATTATCAACCCCATTTCTTGTTGTACACAGTACAATATCTTCCGTGTAACAGCATCCATGAATGACACCAAGGTCAAGCGTCTCTATTCGGATGGTAATGGTGAATTTTGCAACGACAAGCTCAAAGCCTTCTACTCCTCCCTTGGCATCCTGCAAAACTTCACCCTTCTTGATAGCCCGCAGCGGACCTGCATAGCAGAGAGCCGCAGTCACACACTGACGCATATCACTCGCTGCCTCCTCAGCCACTCCAACGCACCACTCTCACTTTGGGGGTACGCCCTCTATGATGCCGCCCTCCTCTACAACCTCTATACCCACCTGCATCTCCCCGACACCACTCCCACCACACTCTGGCTCAAGAAAACACCCACTACTTGCCCTCTCCGTGTCTGGGGGTGCACCGCTGTTGTACTCCTCAACCACTAGTCTCGACGGCGGCAAGGTGGCAAGCTTGGTCCCAAAACTCAAACGTGCATATACTTTGGGCATAATGCTGACTCCTCTGACTACCTTTTCCTCAACCCCTCCACTCAACAACTCGTCCAGAGGAGAGATGTCGTCTTTGATGAGACTCGCCCCTTCTACTCCACCTCGGGGGGGGGGGGGGGGGGATCCCCCCTCCGTTGCACCAGCCCCCTCACCTCCTGCTTCTCCTGCCATCGCACCATCCCCATCTGAGGTCTCTGACCCGACCTCTCCGGTGTCCTTGGCAGCTGCTCCTTCATCTCCCCCTTCTGCTACTCTGCCAACTGCGCCCCGATCACCAACCGCACCAATCACATACCATCGATGGTCGAACCCTCCCGCCCCACCTCCTCCCCCAGTTCCCTCCTCCACTCCGGAACCTACTCTCCCACAGTTGAGCAAACTAATCATGTACCAACGACTACCGGTCCCTCCCCCCAAGCCTTCAAAGCTGTCCCCTCCACGAAAGCCTGCTCCACCCTCTTCTTTGGTGGCTCATGGCACTCGGTCGCATGGGGCTGGTCCTCCAGTGGCACTTGTCATTCGATGCTCAGTGACGACTCCAACTCCTCCTGCTAAGGGGGATGTGCCCTCTACCCTTATGGAGGACAGGCATGAGGAGTTGTGTGAGCTTTTGCACATCTTCCCCGATATCACTAAATCCCCCTCGCTCGACTTCTTGGAGAACCTGATCATTCCTATCCCTCTCACTGTCCAAGAAGCTCTTTCGGGTCCCCATGCAGCCGAGTGGCGCGCTGCCATGGAAGCTGAGTGTGAAACCTTCACCCGCAACCATTACTTCGATGACAAAACTCCCACCTCCATGAGTTAACATCGTTGGGGGCAAGTGGCTGTTTCGAGTGAAGCAGCTTCCGGACCAGGCACCAGTATTCAATGCACGCTATATGGCTAAGGGATTCACTCAACAACAGTACTTTGACTCCTTCAAAACCTTCTCTCCCACATCCAAACCACCCACAGTTCGAACGCTCTTGGATGTAGCCGCACGAGACAACTTTGAGATCAAATCCATGGACGCTTCTTCAGCATTCTTGCAAGGACACCTCGAGGAGACTGTGTTTATGGACCGACCTGAAGGCCTTCCAAGAGAGTTCCCTCCCAACACTATCTGGAAGCTGAATCGCCCTGTTTATGGCCTCAAACAAGCTCCTCCTGAATG